TACAAAACTGGGGAGCAGATAGCTAACCTATGAACAATCTGACCATCATATATCCGCTCTACAAACTGAACTGCTTAAAAACGTTAGCGGAAAAAGACTATTACAAAGGTAATCATCAAGGAATGTCAGCTGAGTACTAGAATGATTCTCGTGTCATACGGAGAGAAGTGCCACGTCAGCTTCATAACATTTTTATTGCTATCGTAGGGGGGACTACACAAACAGCTTTACCATTTATTAGTCACTACGTGAAGCCAATCGTCATGTCCTCTCGTTGAAATTTCTTTAAAACAGATGGACATCAATATTTCATTTATAAGATCAACAGCGATTGTGACAAAACGGTCACCAGTGCCAACTAGGAGGACTTAAATGCTCACAGTCAGAAGAAAATATTTGATCACTAAAGTCTCTGACTGTCATTCATTTAAGCAACGAGCATATGGGTCAAAAATTGGCAAACATTATACAGAAATGAACGAATTCATGATACCATGGTTTATCAAAAGTATGGAGACATGTTCTACAGCAGCAACGGCAAACTAGTAACCATATCGACGTTTCTCTGAAAATTTATTAAACAAAGCAAAGAAACAAAATCTGCGGTTGTTTCAGCAACATATAGAGCTTTAATGCTCAGAAGACATAAAACATTTAACATCAGGACATCGCATTTCTTCTGAAAGGCATTCATTTTTGGCATGAAATTTAATTTGACCTACTGCACTGGCAAAATACAACCAAAGCTGGGCAACAGCCGAAAAAGAAATGACCGGTGAACAGTATAATCCGCACTACAGAATATTATCGTTTGAGCAAATCGTTTCGAGCACCAAAATTTTCAGGATAACTAAGTCTAAAATATCAAAGTCGTTTAAACAATACAATTATAAGACAAAATGAATACGCATTTTCAACAAAATGAAGAAGTAAAAACGTGGAAAAAACTCTGCTGAATGTAATCAAAAACTGTGGCATAGGAGGAATATTCAAAGCAGCAATTCACACCGATATTATGATAGTAACTTCAGCGAAATTCTCGTTCCTTTTATGCAATTGACGACGAAGGGTGCTGTGGAAGCGTTCACCTGATCGAATAAATACATACTCACTTTCGAGTTTGTTAGTTCTACAGAGATCTTCATATTTTGCCTTAGATCTTCGAGGGGGGCCGTGCCATCAGGTGTGTGTTCAATATTAGCTCAACAAAATGGCTACAGTTCACCCACCCATGAAAACTTGACCATTTTAAAATCCTTGTTTGTAACCAATCGGTCACTTTACTTGGACATGCTAATTTCTTCCATACAACACCATCTGACAAGTCGAAACACTTTACTGCTAATATTGATTTTCAAATCTTCATTTCCGTTGCTTCCAGCTATTTTAAATACTGCCATCTCCAAGCTGCAAAGAACGATGTTAAGAACGTCAGTTCTGAACGCTCGCAGCTTGGTGTTATTGCAAACATCTTTGTCCTTCTAAAACTTATTCCTCACCGTCAATGTCAACGCACAGCGAATCTTAACTGCACTTATTCACATATAGATTTGCAGTCAATGTATTCCCAATATACAAATGTTCCGGTACCATTTCCATTATTTTGGTGCTCAGAGTCAGATAGTCCGTTGCCTAGCTTGTACTAATTTCTATCTATTTCATCTTCTTTACGTAAATCGATAGATCCAGAATATAATATCTCAGTTTCAGAGTTAGGAAGAGGGGTTTCGCATCATCGAGGTTGCCTGCAAGCAACAAGATAATATGCACGGATGCCAGAGAATTTACACAGATATTTCCACTTTTGCCGCCGTACCTTCTCTCCTTCATGTTCACCCGGACACGCGGTCAAGAAACACAGTAAACATCAGAGAAAATTCAACTTCTTGCCTTGATTCAAACTTTTCAAGAAAGAATTTGCTAAATACCATTAATTCACACTGTTAGAGAATACGGATGGAAATCCTGATTGATTCCACAAGACATCTCTTCAAGCGCTTTTGTGAAATCAATCAAGATTTCGATCCGCATATCCGCATTCTCTCTTCTTTTCCTTTAGCTGTCTCACTGTGAATGTCTGATCCAAACATCTTTGCCTAACCGGAAAAAACTGCTTTTCATCCAAGATCTCATGATGATATGGTCTGATTCTATTCATCATAATAAGCATGGATACTTTTGCAGGAATAGACAGAAGGATGATTCAAATGAATTATTTGGATCCGAGCAAACAACTCATCCTGAACATTTGAACGGCTATATCCTTCACAATTACATTTGGTATCTTCTCTTTCTGCCAAATCAATCCAAAGAGATTTGCCAATGCCAGAACTCCGTTCATCCCAGATTCTTTAATTAATTCTGGCTGTATTCTACCAATTAATGCAACTACGCATCTTTTCAGTTGTTCAAAGCTTCGGTGACTTCCTCAAGGGTTGACGGTCGAGCAGCGGCATCCACTTTTTCTCCAGGCATAACATCATGCAACGAATCTTGCTTTACAATCATTTCAGAATTTGGTAGCGATTCAAAGTGTTTTCCTCATAACTTTCATAGGACTGAAAATGATGTTATCAGCTTCTTTCATAACCAATGTTAATCGAGGCATCTTTTTGCCTAAGTAGCAACAGAACTTCCTAAACAAGGTCATCGCATCGTTTTTACATTAAGTCTGCTTCTTCCAGAAAACGGCTTAATCTTTACTTAATGATTTTTAATTTCTTTGCACATCTATCTTTGAAAATTTGTCAGCAGTCAGTTTTAGTAACGCTGCTCGTTCTTTTCTCCAGTTATCATTACTGATTCTTCGCATATATTCCAAGCTTCCTTCAACGATATATGCTCTGTGCAATCAATAAATGTCGCGAATTGTGATTTGATATGCTTGAGATACTTCTAGACAGTTAAGCATGTCGACTTTGCCGTAGAATTTGGAAATTAACCAAAAGCCGAAGCTTGACTAAAACTTTAGCCATCATCAGCTGATAGTTGTTTCTGATGCATTCAGCAGTTCCACATATTCTTATAGCCATGCTCAATGATTTTTCCTGACGAAAATATGACCAACCTGGTTTACGTTAATGCATAAGGAAAGAACCATGTAACTATATGCATGAAACCATTTCCACACAAAAACGAGTTCATACATCATATACAGCTCAGCTAGTCGTTCATCGTTATCATTCATCTCACCAACACCATGTGATTCCAGGCATCTACAAAGCCCCTTCTTTATTCCCGCTTTTACACTGAAATTACCAAGAATAGAGTTTCACGGATTCGAGACTTTTAGCATGCAATTCTTCCCTTTGTTCCCTTGCTGCAGTTTCGACAGAGGCAATAAAACAAGCTGCAGTAAAGCAAAGTTGTTTATGAATGGATTTTAATATCGCAATAATGATTCTCACATATACCACAATTCAATTTAAAAGATAACCTTCTAAATATCGACAATCAGTGTGCAAGACCATCACTGTAAGCTTCCATAATGCGGTATTTCTGCAATAGAAATAGCAGTTTTCACTCGACAGAACCCTTCTTACAACTTAGTGCATTTCTTGTCTTAAAAATACCAATATTCTTCTTCGACTCAGCGCAGGCCGTGCACGTATTTTGAACTTTTTCAGGTCCCATGCTTACAATCGAAATTATCCCTGAAAGACACTGTCTCTGTCCTGCAGTATTTTGAGCCCTACACTGGTCTGTAACCGATTTATCAGAGCCTCGTTAGTTTTCCGTTTCAGGGTTCAAGTCAGGCGTTCGCAGCAAAGTTAGTGACTGAAGAGAATGCATTCCACCGTACTTAGTAATCCTGCTGGCATTCCCCACCCCCTGCGCTGCACGTTGCTTCTATCTTTCATCAAGGGAGTCACGGAGTACGCATCACTGATGAATCAGAAACAATATTTCCATTTGAAGTTGGCAACATACTGATTGGCCAAATTAAACTTGATGAACTGTCCATCTTTCCCTAACACATACCCTCATATTTAAAGCCAGAATTGTGCAAAGGAAAAAACTACCAGGGGTAGGAATGATTTAAACTTACGCAGTTGAAATCTACAGTAAGTCATCACCGCCGTAATTTAGGTACATATCTATCTTCTGACCTCGGTATTATTCGAAATCTTCATTTATTTGATATCTAGCAGTTTGACTTTCTTCAGACTAATTATGCCAATCGAATCAGCAAATGTTCCAAGTCAACAATTACTCTGAAGCAAACAAAGAAAAGAAAAAAAATAGAAAGGGTAAGTGAAAAGAAAGAGAAGAGAGAAGAAATTACTAAAATGAAGTTCTGGGGAAAATGAAGAGAAAAGTTAGAAAAAAAGGAAACGAAAAATGATAAAAAAAGAGAAGAATAAAGCGAGACAGGAAGAACAAGGAAAAGGCACAGGAGACAGTTCTGATTTTCTAGCGGCTTTTGAGATCCAATGCAACTACGTACTTCGTGGCAATGGTAACTTTGATAGCCTAAAATGTAAATCTTTTCTAACTTCTGATCTTTCGGTTATTCATCATTTTTGTTGTTAAACCAGGAATTCGCACTCGCATTGCCTAGTAGCCCAAGTGTCAAGATATTTCACATGGTGCTCAAATGCATACCAAAATCGAGTTTCAAAGCATCAGCTGGATGAATGCCATAACTTTCATACAGCTTTATCTATAACGGAAATATATACCAGAGAAACAGAGTATTTAAACTGTTACATAAAATTTTTTTGCAGCAAAGGAACGGTGAGATAACCGCTTGAGTAGAATTAAGCCTAATGAGAAAAAGCAGTAAGATATCAGACTAAAGCTTCAGTTAAGTCAAGTCTCGATATGCTATTACCGTCTTTTATAAGCGAAAACGCTCATTCTTCAAGAGCGTTGGATAAACATTTTCCAAATACCACTTGAAGGATTTACAGCCAAGTTTGTTCTTTAACAACAGACGAGATGTGACGCTAAACGATCAACAAGAATCACTATGACATTTAGTTTGGCTAAGGGATCATCTACTTGCCAAACTCTATATGTTTTGCCTCCGGTATAGCATCAAAATAGAACTGTTTAAACTCGTCCAACCAAACCTCGGCCATTCTTCGTGTGTTTCTGTGGAAAAAACAAAAATAAAAAGGCTCTAATTTAAAAAGATAAAAGCGAAAACACTTTATAATGGTGAGGCATTACCTCAGAAAAACCTTTTGCGTTCCACCGGGAAATTCATAGGGAAACTCGTTACGGAAGACGTGGCCAACGCGGCTGCATGGAATGATTTCCAGTCGTCCGCCACACATCCATACACGGAAGGAAAACTCTGTACAAAAAAATTTTCGTACAATGCAAAGAGTTATGCTCAAAAAATGAAAACTCCTCTTGGTTATATCAACAAATAAAACTGCTGATCATGTTTAACTGCATTATATAGACTGATTTCAATACTATAATACGGTATAATACGCAAATTTATTACACTGTGACATCAAATCAATCATATTATGAGCAGCAAAGCAAACAATTACAACTGATGCCAAACTATATTACCTGTGTAGTATAGGAATTATCCAAGCTTAGGAAAAAATAAACTCACAATCTGACTCAAAGCTTACGACGTAGTGAACAGAAACGATTAACGTAAGTGGCCGCATGAAAGGATGTATATGACGGAACTGAATCCTCTTCGTTGCAATGTCAACGGCACGGCTACAAATTTCCAGGAATCTCTAGACTGTAGGCTAATGAGGCAGCGATGCTTACAGATTTACAAACTTTCTCATGCCCTTGCGGAAATAAATCAGAATTTCATGATTATTCTGGAACAAATCGTAAAAAACTCACTGATACACGCTATCTACCTTCCTAATACAGTTGATAATATGTCTAAATTATTTCTACCCGATAAGATATATGTACTTATACGATTATATGGCACAATGAAGAACTGAATGAGTCGATATAGAGTTTCATTGATAATTCTTCAGCGCCAAGAAGTTCAAGGGTTTATTCTAACAAAAACGTCATTTAGCAAAATCTCGAAGCTTTGAATTGACCAAGGTTCATTACCAGGGAGCATTTAATAACCCCAATATATAACTACCATATGCAAAAACGACGTCAACAACTTTCACAATAAATCTCTTGAACCTTGATCAACCTCCATCAGAAACGTTTGGACTACATCAGATTATAACTAAAAATAAACCTGATTATATGGGTTTAGTAGCATGCTGCTAGTTATCGATATCGCCGTTAAAAAGGAACATTTTTTCATTTGACACCGGATTGAAACTTCCTAACAGAACCGCCTCGTTGCTTCTGTCAACCTAGAAAGCCATTTACAAATGCCACGGCTCCATGCATTTGTGCAACAGCAGTGCTTAAATGCAAAACCGCAACACTAGGCAGAGCCGAACAAAGGTCTGTTCAGCCGTGCATAGTGATGCGCTTTTGCATTTAGGCACTGTAGGTGTTCAAATACCATAGAGCCGTGACCTGCTTATATGGTCACCTAGACGACTAAAAGCAAGAGACAGTGTCATTACGCCGCTTCAGTCCGGTATCAAAAGAAAAACTGTTTTATAAAAATTATATTTGTATAATAGTAAAGCCACTATAGATCTTAACAATGACATGCTTTGCACATGCAAAAAGAATTCTAGTGTCTTTACAATAAACATAACTTTTCATTAAAGACATAATCATAATCGCTAGTACTTCCTGAAAAGAATATGGGACTTGGGTAAATCAGTAAAAGTCAAATTCCGCAATTATGAAATTTTCATTACAACGAACAATTTTCTTGTTTCAAACTCACTTAATGAAACAGATTAAATAGGTCGTGTTATAACGAAATCAAAATTTCAGTATAACGAACCTTTATTACTGATAAAAATGAAGTAAATTTCATACGGGCGCAAATATAAACGCCGATTACATTTATATTTGCAATAGATAGGCACAGGGCATCTACGTATGCGATTCAACTATATTCTGTCAGCGGCTTCGCAGAACGATGTTT